TCAATGTCCAATCGACAATCAAATAGCTCATTTTACTGCCTTCTTGCACTCAGTCCATCCGATTGATTCTACCTTGGACCAAAGGTTAGTTGGAGAATCCGATTACTGATTGGCTGCGTGGAAGCTGTATCGTGTTGCGTGCGTACTGGTTTCCCGATGAACACAGTATCTTACGTGCACCAACATTTTTATAGAGCTTCCGCTTGGCTAGGATCTACTTCCACGTTCGGATAATTTTGTCGCTTGACAGGTGGCCATGATAGGGATAATGTATGCACGAAGGGCTTACAAAAGTTGGTCGATAAATGATCAAAAATTTGTGTAGTAATTGTGGTATGCAGTGATCCGAAGTACAAATGACGAATTAGAAATAACGGACTAGCAATCATGGACGAGACCTAAGCAAAGGATCACACTGGTACTTACTCGATAGTATCCCACGTAGCCGAGATGTGAGAAAAAGGCCACAAGAATAGCATTTCGTTAATTTAAATAAAATACGGGTTTTAAATATTATGTAAAAAACAAGTGCATTGGTCATCCAAGTCTCTGCCAATTGCGTGCTGGTATTTCTGGTGTTGTGCAACTTCTGTTTGAGACGCACGTCTTCTGATTGGTTGGTACAATCGACCGATGGTCCTTTGAAACTTGATCTTAAATCCCAAAATCAACCGTACACTCAACACCCACTAGAGTCAAAATTCCTGTTAGAGCTCATCACTGGGACTCACAAACCGGCCCACTTGTGATATGATAATGGAAGATGCATATGACAAAAGTGCTCTCAATTCAAGTTTCTTTATTTCCCTTCTTTGCTAAGAAGGTAGTTCGGTACTATCTCTGACGAAGTCGTGAGTTTATTGGACAACTGGCCTAAAGTCGACCCCGAGGTATTCGCTCTAGTCCATCGAGTCGATCAAAGTCGATTACAGTTCAGTTGAAGTCATTGTCAGTGGTCTAACGGGCCCTGGCGCAGACGTTTGGGCTCTTCAGAAACCTTGGATATAGTGTGGTGACTGCGTCAGAGGGTGATGTCATTTGAAAGGTCAGATGGCAAAGTACCCACCCACACACTAACACGCACACATCAGTATCTACGTGTACCTACTGTACAAATTTATTAATCTTGATCCCGGTTAATAGCTTTCATTGTGTTAACAATTTTTCAGTAATTACTTGAAGACCCCGAGGGCATGTTTCTGTATAAATTCTGTTTATAAGTGTCCGTCCGTTCGTGAGGTTTTGCTCTAATTCTACATTATCTTTCTGGGTTCAAAGCGACTAGCAGAAATTCTTGGAATAAGTAGTATACATTTCTTCTATTTCGCCTGTTCGCCGAGCTTGGCAATTTGTTTGCAAATGTTTCATCACCAGCCGAGGTGACATCATCAGTGCTTGTGAAGTGGCCATTTCTTTCAGTTGAGTAGGAATCCGAAAATGAGCCAACGACGAAATAAAAGTATTGAATGAATCATGTTTGAAACTGATTAACTGTTACCGAGAATAAACCTTCTGAGCGATCATTATGTAGTATTCACGACAAACCAAAATAATTCTGAGAGGGAGGGAATGTAGTACAGCCAATCAAACTATGCGGGTGTGCCCGGATCTCCACGGAAGCACTCGACCGGTTTCATGGCAGCTGAATATAAGTAAAATGGATGAAACGCAGTTTGAACAGGGAGACTAGCGCTCGAATTAGGACTGTATCAGATCTGATACCTCGATGAAGAAAGAAATCCTCACAATGAACAATGCCATTTCTTCTGTGCTGTCAGATAAATGTTGAATGCAGTTAGCACTATTTGAGGAAAATTGAATTTAAGCGGATGCAACGCAATGTATTACAACGTTTTCTAAACAAATGTCCCTACAAGGGCAATCAAAAACATTCCCTGCAGTAACTGAGGGAACAACACCTTGGGAAAACGAGAACGCACACGAAGGAAAGCGAGGCAAAAGTCCTACCTTCAACTGAGTAGCCAGTTCGTCTTTATCAGCAAGAGACAAATATGGAGCAGGCAAATCGTTATTAAAGTTAACGGTACTCACAGTGGACACCTGGTTCATATACATCGGGCGCGGGTGATCGAGTAGTAAGGTTGTCGAATTAAGCACCTTGAGTCCAAACCCCAATACCCATCGTCTCGTTATTTTCAATTCCCAAGGCATTATTCGAATGGCCGCAGCCCCTTTCCTGAGATTTTGTGCACATTTCTCTAACGAATAAACAAAAAAGGAAGCAAGAACATTCATTCATACACCGAAAGGATGCAGTGATGAGGTAAGATATTCAGCAAAATTGTTGGACAGTAAAGTTATACATTTTAATACGATTACCATAATCCATACTACATTTTGGAGTAGCTCAACTCCCCAGTACAATGACGGAGCCAAGCGATTACTTTCACCGAAAACGCTTCTCACCGACTTCATGTACAATTAGTACTATCAAGTCAGCATTGCAGTTAAGTGATGTGAATATGACAGACACCAATAGTAACAAAGATGGGTTATATTGTGTTGACCAAATCAATGAATAATGCTTCTGGAGAAGCTGATGTTAGAGTGATGGTCACATTAGTGGAGTAAGTACGTCTGGAGAAACCGCAATACATTGATTGCGCTACAGAATCTAACGCGGTCAAAGCACAATCGATAATCAATAGATATCGCCGAATGGAATCTCCGGGTTCGATTATTATCCATCACTAATGAACAGCGGACGATGGACAGGCGATTGATAACTTGTTTAAATAAATGTGAAATCAGTTGTGGCAATACGGCGGGAATGGGCAGAGTGTGTCAGGAGGCAACAGTAGCGTGAGAGAGATTCTGAAATCAAAATTTGAAATGCGCGTAGCGCTCCCTAAACGGGGAAGAACAGGTATGAGCAGAGGGCGCGGGTTTGTGTGTGGTAACTATGGTCCTTGCATAAAATCAACTAATGGGGTGTCGGAAGCCCAGTGGCCATGTGTGTGTAGGAGAATACCACTAATATTGCGGGCTGAATCTACAGGTGCGGTTGAGGTGGCTCGTTTGGTCGGAACAAGAATGAGTACGGTGAATTAAACCTGTGAAAGGGAGAACGATCAGAAAAGAAAACAACGATGGTAATCAATTTTTTGGACAGTCAAATAGGCTGGCACTTTGCATCAATACAATCGCCGTTTGATATTTGTAGGAAATCAAAAATATTCGAACAAAACCAGATGAGGTCTTTTGTCTCCAATTTGGTTTATTCGATCTGCAATTGTACAACCAGTCTTCAGGCAAGGGATTCGGCCAGTTGAAGCCTGTCTAAGGGCGAACACAAATGAGGAAGATGGGTACCGG